GTGAGTGTAAAGATTTCTGACCTTGAAGGTGAGGTTTAAGGGGCGGGAGGAGCTGAGGTGCCCCTTCCCATCACCCCAAACTCTGTCTGGTGCCAGGGGGTGCCAGGGGGTGCCAGGGGGTGCCCGAGGAGTCCCAGCCTGGCACAGCCCCGTGTCCCCTCCAGAGCCAGGGGTCACTGCCACCCCGGGGAATGTCCCCAGAGTTCCCTGCACAGGGTTTTATTCCCCCTTTTCCTGTTCAAGCCCCAAACCCCACACAAAGCCCACCCCAGCTGGCATTTTGGGGTGATTTTGTGCTTTTCGCTGCAGTAAAACCCAAACCCGGCCCTTTTCCTCGGGGGCTCTGGGCATGCAGCGGGGGCGAGGAGGTGCGAGCCCAGCCCTGGGTGGCTTTTGCCGAAATTGGGCCCCGAGCCGGGCTGGTGGGACCGGTCGGGCCGGCAGAGCTGTGCCCGTGGCCCCCGGACACGCCGCGCTCGCCGCTATCGCTACCGCCCCTCCCCTGGTGCCATTTAAACCTGAACCTCGGCTCAATTAGCGCTCGTTAATCACCGCCCAGAATGGGCCACCCAGGCTGCGGGGGCGGCCCGGTGCCACCGCGGGTGCAGCGCTCCAGCCCGGCTTTAGCCCGGTTTAGCCCGGCTTTAGCCCGGCTTAAGCCCGGCTTTAGCCCGGATCCTCCCGCAGGGGTTTGAACAAACCCGAGGGAGCCGAGCCCGCGGTGCCAAAGCCGCGCTGACCCAAGGCCTCAGCTCGGGCCGACTTTGGAGCTGAATTTGGAGCTGAATTTGGAGCTGAATTTGGAGCTGAATTCGGGGTCCCCGCGGGTGTCGGGGCCGAGCAGCAGCGATCCGGGATGGGGTTGGGATGTCCCGCGGGTTCCGTGGGGCTCCACTCGCCCTTTCCCGGTTGGGATGAGCCCATCCCGGGGTGGCGACGGGAACATCGCGGGGCTCCGGTCTCTCCTCGCCCTCTGGGCTGCCCTGGCACGGGCACGGCTCGGCCCAGCCCGGCTCCCATCGCAGCTCAACGGGGCGGGAGTGTGCCCGAGCTCACGTAGGCAGGAGGAGCCGCCGCCTCTCCGGGGCGGGATAAGGACGGGATAAGAACGGGATAAGAACGGGATAAGAACGGGATAAGAACGGGACAAGAACGGGACACGCTCCGCTCTCACCCCGGGCAGGAACGGGGCTGGTCCGGGCTGGGAACAACCGGAGCCCCCGAGCGAGGAGCCAAACCCGGCACCCCCTGCCCCAGGAAATGCCAGCACCATGGATTTTTGAATATCTAGTTAAGAAGTTTTAATGTGTTCTCCTGGCACGAGGGGCACAGTGGCTGCCACTGGGGTGGAGAGGTTCTAAAACACYCTCAGGGATCTGAGGATCTTTGTTAATTGTTAATTGGAACTTGGAGCTGGGCTGGGTTAATGGGCAAGGACCTCGAGGTGCTTGTGTGGCCGCCGTGGACCATCATGGCATCCCAAAAGAGCATCCCAAAAGAGCATCCCAAAACGAAATCCCAAAACGAAATCCCAAAACAGCATCCTGAAACAGAATCCCAAAACAGCATCCTGAAACAGCATCCCAGCATCCCATCCCAGCATCCCGGGTGGTGCTGAGCCCCTCTGGAACGGGGGAGCCACAGCCAGTGGTCCTCTCGGGTCCCTCACAAGGCTCCAAAAGAGCTGAAATCCTCCCTGTCAAAGTCAAATGCCTCTCTATAACCCAGCCCGGGGTTGATCTGTGCCTTGATGAGCTCCAGAATTTGCCTACGGGAGAAAAAAAAAAACCCAAAACCCCTTATTGGATTAAAACCGAGCCCCTCTTCCCAAGGCCGGCAGCTTTAAAAGGCAGAGATGGGGAAAAAACCGAACCTGGGGTAGGTTTAAAGAGCTGAGCCCTTCCCAGGAGCTGCTTCAGCCTCCTGTAACTTCACAAATAAACTTTGCTTTATAAGTTGGACTCGTGGCACGGTTTTGGCAAATTCAGCGCCCTCCAAGGCAGCGTTTCCTGCGTTCTCGATTGCTATCGGGAGCCTCGGGAAAATATACAGGTGGGGGGAGTGARTTTAACCCTTTGCTCCCCAACCTCACCCCCCTCCCCGAGTCAGAAAGAGCTCAGGGCTGCTCCAGAAGAGGTGAAAAATGAGGAACCTCAGGTGAGGCTCAAGGAGATCTGGACCGGCCGAGGTCCAGCGAGGAAAACCTGGGCACGGCCAGTCGGGTTTAATCCCCACTCCCCACTCCCAGCGGCGCCGTTTGACAGCGAACCGGGGCAGCTTTGGGATCTTTGCCCGGCACATCCCAGCCCATCCCAGCCCCGGCACCCTCGGCTGGAGCGCTCAGGGCACSGATCCGATCCTCACCCGCGGCCGCAGCGCCCGCAGCTCCCGGGGAAAGCGGGAGGGGAGGCCGGGCCCAGTCCCGGTTGTGAAATAACCCCCGGTACCTGGGCTTTGAAATGCAAAAAGCGCTCAGCTCCGCTCCGGCGGGGCCYTTGCGGTCTGAGGCAAACAAAGCTCACAATGCAGCCGGGCTGCAGTTGTGATCAGCGAGCAGCTTCAGACCGACAGGCATCTCGCATGCAAATGGCCTTCACCGCTAATTAAATGCACAAAGGAGATTTTTCCAGGCATCCGAGGTTGCTCCTGCAGAGTCTGAACTCCCACACGCGCACACACCCAGCGCCGCTGCAGAACGAGGGCTTTTTCTGCGCACAAAGCACTTCATTTCCATGCGCGTGGATTGGGCAACGCCAGCGCCCTTCCCGGATCCCTGCAAGGACATCCCGCTCCAGAGGCAGCTCTGGGGGCTCCCGGTTCCACCCCGTGTCCCGTTCGGTGGGAATTGCAGCAATGGGAATATTTCGGGATGATTGGTGGAGCTGGGAGAGGTCCGGCGGGTGTTGGGCTCCTGCGGGTTTGGGGAAAAGAGTTGGGACAAGAGGCACAGGGTCATGAGGGTGCTTGTGCTGGTTGGTCAGCACAGGTGCCCCAAAATTCTCATGGCAGAAAATCCACGATCCTGTGAGAGCAAATTCCCCTGTCCTGTGAGGATAATGTCCCCTGTCCTGTGGGGATAATGTCCCCTGTCCTGTGAGGATAATGTCCCCTGTCCTGTGAGGATAATGTCCCCAGTCCTGTGAGGACACTGCCCTGGTGATGCTCTATGAACCAGCGCTCTGCCCCAGGGCAGCACCAGGGTGTGCCACACACCAGTGCAGGCGCTCCAGGGCTGTCCCAAGATTGGGATTTTTCCCTTCCCAGATGATTTTGGGGCTGCCACCATCTGATACCGGCCAGGAGCCACCCCAGCAGCGCGGGAGCACGGGAGGACGTGTCCCTCCGTGTCATCTGCTCCCAGGGCCGTGCAGGGCAGAGGAGAGCTCGGATCAATCCCTGTGAGGTGCTGTGGGTCACAGCAGGACCTGGGACTGTCCCCAAAGCCAGCCCTCCCCTGGGGCACAGGCACAGCCAGGCGGGCACAAGGACAGAGGGCACAGGGATTGCCCTGCAGGGACACGGCCGCTGCACCAGCTCCGAAAATCGCCCTTTGCAAACGGGAAAAACAAAGTGCRAAGCAGCGGRGGTGTGACGGGGACACTCCGGGGARTGGCAGGGACAGCCAGGGACAGGCGGACACTCAGAGCAGCCCCCTGGGGCCGCAGACACACGGACAGCGGGCTCAGAGCGTGCCCGGGGCGGGAGGAGCGGGGGCAGCGCCGGCGGAGCTCCGGGCACAGACTCGCGGTGGTTTGGAGGAGCTGCCTCAGCCGCGGCCGCRGTCGGGCTCCGTGTCTGGGCCGAGCCCCGGCTGTGGCTCAGACGGGTTTGTTTAACTCGCCATCTGCCCTGCCCGCGGTGCCTGGGGAGGGGCAGCGCCCGGATCGCTGCGGCASCGCCTATAGATACAGAACATCTGTGTATTATAATATCTGTGTGTTATAATATCGGTGTATTTGTAATATCTGTGTATTATAATATCCGTGCATTTGTAATATCTGTGTGTTTATAACATATGTGTATTTCTAATATCGGTGTATTATAATATCGGTGTATTATAATATCTGTGTGTTATAATATCGGTGTATTTGTAATATCTGTGCATTTCTAATGTCTGTGCATTTCTAATATCTGTGTATCTATAATAGCTGTGCATTTCTAATATCTGCGCATTTCTAATACCTGTGCATTTCTAATATCTGCGCATTTCTAATACCTGTGCATTTCTAATATCTGTGTATCTATAATGTCTGTGCATTTCTAATATCTGTGTATCTATAATATCTGTGCATTTCTAATACCTGTGCATTTATAATCTCTGTGTTTTTATAATCTCTGTGCATTTACACCGGGACAGAAGGAGCTGAACCGAGCCCCCGCGGGCCCTGAGTCACCTCGGAGCCCCATTAAAGTCCGGGGCTGAAGCAATCGCAGCCGCCGGCTCCGGTCCCGCCCCGGCCGGGTGCTGCAGCCGCGGTGGCCGGAGCGCTCGGAGCCGCACGGGGCCGCGGGGAAGCGCCGCGGTTCCGGGCCGGGCGATGCGAGCGGCGCTCCCGGGAGCCCGGGCCAGCCCCGGAACCGCAGCGGCCCCGCCGCGATGGCTGAAGATTGGGATGAGGCGGCGGCGGCGGCCCCGGGAGCCCCGGTGGGACCGGGATGCACCGGCGGGAGGGTCATTGCTGTGACCTCGTGTCTGTCCCGACGGTGGTCACAGCCTTGGGAACTCCGTTTCCAAAGGGAAAGAAACGGAGCTGAGCTGAGCYGAGCTGAGCTGAGCYGAGCTGAGGGGTTCTGCTCCAGCGCTGAGCTGACACAAAGCAGGACCCCCCTCCCGCAGGGAAAGCAGCTCTGCCACGGGCCCAGAGCTGCAGGGAACGAGCAGAGGTGTGGGATGGGCAGCACCCGGCAGCTCCCAGCGCTCTCCCGATGGCCCCGGTGCCATCCCGGGGATGATTTCCTTGCCCAGCCGAGAGACCCGCGGCTTTTCCAGCCCCGTCGGGATGAAGGCTCAGGGCGCTGCCTGCCAGGAGCCCCGGGAGCGTCCCCAAACCTCCCGCAGGCGTGCGAGAGCCCGGCCTGATCCTCGGGGGCTGCAGAACCGGGGGGACACTCCCAGCTCGTTCCCCAGGCCGAGCATCCCGGGGGGAGCGGCAAATCCCGGGAGAGCGGCACATCCATCACATCCCGGGGGGAACGGCACATCCCGGGGGAAACGGCGGCACATCCCGGGGGAAACGGTAAATCCCGGGGGGAACGGCACATCCCGGGGGAAACGGCGGCACATCCCGGGAGAACGGCACATCCCGGGGGGAACGGCACATCCCGGGGGGAACGGTGCATCCCAGGAGACCGGCACATCCCGGGAGAGCGTCACATCCCGGGAGAATGGCACATCCCGGGAGAGCGGCACATCCCGGGAGAGCGGCGGCACATCCCGGGAGAGCGGCACATCCCGGGAGAGCGGCACATCCCGGGAGAGCGGCACATCCCGGGAGAACAGCACATCACATCCCGGGGGGAACGACACATCACATCCCGGGAGAGCGGCGGCACATCCCGGGTGAAGCAGCGCATCCCGGGTGGAGCAGCGCATCCCGGGTGGAGCAGCGCATCCCGGGTGGAGCAGCGCATCCCGGGGGCAGTGGCACATCCCGGCAGAACAGCACATCACATCCCGGGAGAGCGGCGGCACATCCCGGGAGAGCGGCACATCCCGGGAGAGCGGCACATCCCGGGGGCAGCGGCACATCCCGGGTGGAGCAGCGCATCCCGGGGGCAGGCGGCGGCCGGGGGTGCCCGGGTGGGGCTAGCAGGGAGCTGTGGGTGCTGCGGTGCCCCCGGGAGGCTCCGGGAGCCCTGGCCCGGCCCGGTGAGCCCGGTGAGCSCTGCCCACGCAGCAGGTGCCCCGCCCGGGGCGCTCACCTGGGGGATGCTCCGGGACGCGGCCCCGGCTCCCCCGGGCGCCCCTCCCGCGCTAATTAGAGCCCGCTATCGGCCGATCTAACGCAATTTCGGGGTTAATGAGGCCCCGCTCTCCGGCGTGCCCTGCCCCGGTGCTTTGAAGTGGGGCTGCGCTCAGGGCCGCCCGTCTGACAGCGGCGGGATCCCGGCGCTGCGTCGCTTTAACAGCGTTTTTAGCTTCTGTGCGCCAAGCCGAGAATAAAGACTCACATGAGCCTGTTTTAATTGAAACTCTTCTGATCTCGCGGCCCAGCCCAGCCTCTGCACAAGAAAACACCTTCCCCGCGTCCCAGGAATGAACGGTTACACGGGGGCCTTGCTTTGCATGGACTAAATAAAAATAAAATCATGCGATTAAATCAAAGAGCAGCACACGAGGTGCTCGCTGAGGGTTTCAAGATGTGGTTTGTGGRGCTGCCGGCAGCGGGGTGCGGGTTCAGGTGCCCTCAGAAAGGTGTGCCCTGGTGACACGGCCCTGCTTGGTGGCATTTCTGATGTGGTTCGGGGCTGGGCGGTGGCGTCAGGACAGGGTGAAGCCGAGGAGAAAGAAAAACTGAAACATGGTGAACAAAACCGCTCCCCTGAGCTTGGAACAGCGTTTTTATCGCGTGGGTTTGTATTGCAGCAAAGTGGAGAAATTCTGAGTTGTCAGGAATGAAGGATTGGGGTGGTTTTTGTCGAGTTTTATACTTTGGGCACTGCAGAAGCTCTCCTGTCCCAGGCAGCGCTGAAGGAACGGGAATTTGGGGGATCCCAGGCTGCAGGTCCTGGGATTTGCAAATCCAGGAAAGGATTTGCCCTTTCTGGATCCAAGTTAACAGCTCCAGCCTGCCCCAAGCACTGGGAAYGGCCCCGATCACCTCCCAGGGTGGAAGGAAACAGAGCCCAGCAAACCCAGGCTGAGAGGGACAACGAGTCTCAAAAAGAAGCAAAATGTCTCATTTTTTGTGCCTGTCTGGGAATGAAATGGAGGGGGAAAAAAAAAAAATCCCCCAACAACTGCTGTGTATAAAATCAATGTATATAAATGGGTATAAATATCTCTCTCCCCCAAGGCGTGAGGTCCCGCTGAGTAAGTGGATGTGAATGACGTGTAACCCAACACTCGCCCAGACACCCTAATGAATTTTCCATGTTTTCCATCGTTTAGCCTCTAAATAGGCAGCATTCACAAAAAACACCCACCCCAACCCCACAGAGCCCCATCCTTTCCAGCGGGAAGGATTAACCCCCCGTGGATCACCACGAAAATTATGCCAAGAGTGGGAATTTCGCTCTGCTCCAGATGGTGCCCACAGGGGTGGTTTTTTTTCAGGTTCTGGGGGTGCTGGGTGGGTGCTCTGAACCTCTCAGGGCCATCTGGTTTTATTTCTGAGAAATGGGATTTCATTGCTCTTTCAAAGGAACAGAATTGGGCCTTGATGATGCTGATTGCTAATTTGGRCAAGGTTCATTAAGGGTTTGATGTGCAAGGCCAGAGCCAGGATCCTTCCCCTGCATCCTGTGGAGCCCCAGAATTGGTGCAAGTTAAAAGATTATTTATCAAGGCAGTTTGGACACAACAGAGTCATTAAAACAGAGGCTGGGCTTCAGAGTTTGGGCTGGAATGAGAATAAAACTGAGACTTTTGTTAGCTCTGATCTCAAAGGAAATACTCTTCATTTTTTCTAGGAGCTTTTTTAGTCCAAACTCTGCGCAATTTAATATCTGAATGCTCAAAAAAATAGCTCTCCAAGCTCTAGATTTTTTTTTCCCCTTTTCAGTTTTGTGTTGCAAAAGAAAACCCAAACATTCCTGCTCTGACTGCCCCACGCTGTTGCTTCCAGCCCTGTTTTTTTGGAGTGATGCCGGAACAGAGGGGTTTCTTGGGTATTTGGGAACGTTTGGGAGGGGTTGATGCACCCCACAGCCCCCCAGTGCCGTGCTGGGGTCCAGCTTTCCCATTTAAATTCAGTAATTTGGGATAAAACCTGTGTGGGGGCATGGTGGATGCTGTGTGTGGTAAAAATATCCCCTATGTAAAAACATCACCTTTATGGAAATATCACAATAATAATAATAATAATAATAACAAAAATAATGCCAATATAAAAATCACAACCCTCTGGCATTCAGGGCACATTTAACTCCAGCAGCTCCCTCGGCCTCCCATCAGGATTTTTGGAGCTGCTGAGTCCCCCTGGCACTGTTTTTTTCTGGGATTTCCTTCTCCAGCCACATCCTCATCCCCTCCAGCCCCAAAACCACTTGGCCAAGGCCTTGAACCCCACTGACCCATGGATTCCATGGATGATCTACTGCATGTCAGGACAAAAAAAAAGTCCTTTTTATTCATTTTCTTTTTTCTCCCCTTTCCTTCTTCTTCCCCCTGCAGCTCTAACYGAGGCTGCAAGAAAAGCCGGGATCCGTTTGGAACAGAAAGTTCCTGTAAACAGCAGCTACACCTCAGGGTGTTTCCTCTCGCAGGAGCTGTGAAGAAAARGCAGCTATGTCTCGGGTTTTCCTTGGAACATTTTCCTGCTGGCCTGGGCTGTGGAGACGGCTACGAGCATTTATTGTGGTTTGGTTTGGGCTTTTCCTAACTTTTTTTTCTCCTTTTTTTTTTTTTTTTTTTTTTTTTTTTTTTTTTTTTTTTTTTTTTTTTTTTTTTTTTTTTTTTTTTTTTTTTTTTTTTTTTTCCTCTTTCCACGCAAAGGCCACTGTGGGTTACGCTCACAGAGATGCTGCTGAGGGGTTTGGGAATGGCCCCGGCGCTCCTTCCCTGCTCTCATGAATAATTCTGGCTCTCCAGGAGCCCCGGCCCGCAGCTCCTTGGCATCGGATCTCACTGTGGGCTGGAACTTTTTTATTTTTGCCTCTCGGCTGTCGTTTGGGTTCTGGAGGCGAGTGCTGAGTGCTGAGGGGTTCGGGCTCGCAGCACCCGGGAATTTGGGTCCTGATGGATTTGAGTGGAGGTTTTGCAGCTCGGGAGGTGCTGGAGGAGGGCAGGAGGGGAGCGGGATGCTGGGTGAGGATGCAGAAATCATCCTGCTGGGCTGTCCTGGGCAGGCCGAGCGCTGCAGACCCATCCTGGAGAGGTTTAAAGGGGTTTTCAGGGAGCTCAGATCCCCCTATCCCATCCCATTCCACCCCATCCCATCCCATCCCATCCCATCCCATCCCATCCCATCCCATCTAATAGAGACACATCCCACCCCATCCCTGCCTGCCCACCCTTTTGGTGCCGAATTGCAGCCAAGAGCAGCTCCCACACACCAGATTTGGGCGATGGAGCGCTCCGAGCAGGACAAAAATCCAACTCTGGGGAAAGGAGCCTCCCTTGGCGCGGAGCCCGGCGACAAGTGACAGTCGGGAGGCGGCGGGGACACTCGTAACCATCGGTTTATTGTTCCACATGGCACCACATGACAGGATTACAGGGCGGCCCGAGGCCGTGGCCACGAACATCGGAGCACAAAGAACCCCCGGCAGAAAAGCAGAGCTGTCCCCGGAGCCGCGGCTCTGTCCCCACCAGCCCGGCCGTTTTCAGGGAAGCCAGAGCAGGGATTCTCCTCCGGCCACAGCTTTTCCAGCAGCGCAGCCTCCTCTTCTTCCTCCTCTTCCTCTCCCCCCTCCCCACCGCCCCCCTCCCCAGTGACAAGTGCTACAGGTTAAAAATTGGGCTACATATTAAATATTACCTTCAAGTAGGGCTGGGGTGTTACACAAATAACCACATTTTTGGTATCACTAGCATTTTTTTTTTTTTTAATGTCCATCTTAAGACACCATTAAAAAACCCAACGACTTTAGCCTTCTTTATCTACAAAGATCTCTGATCTCGTCTCCTCAGTCTGGTGTTATTTTACCCTGCACATACAAGTATTAGAAGCATTATTAAGAATCGTATCCTTCAACACATTTAAGAATTATATTATTATAACAAATAAGACCAAAAATTAGATTTTATAGTTAAATATTCTGTGAGCCAGACAAAGGGGCTTTACTGTACAAGCGATTGTGCATTTTTTTTTTTAAAAAAAAAAAAGCAAATTATAGTGCAAAGCAAAAAACATTGGCCTGTCTCGTGACCATTTGCATACAACAGAGGTGCATCTATTTACACCTTCACATGACAATATGTCATAAAAACAACATCGTTGCCATTCTTTTCATTATTTTCTCTTTTTAAAACTCACTACGAACAGTCTTAAATTAACCTAGAACTACGAATGCCTTGTTTTCCTTTGTGCTTTCAACCAGTGGGACGGGATGACAAATGTAAAAAGGCATCAAAACACAGGCTGCCCTTTCCAGCTCCGGCGCTAAGGCGAGCGGAGGTTGCAGTTTTGCTGGGGTAAGGCTTTTTTTTTTTCTTAAATTATTATTATTATTATTAATATTATTATTATTTATTTAAAAGAGTTGTTCTTTGTTGTTTCTGGGACTCGGAGTGGTCATGGCAGCTCTCCAGGGTGTGCTGCTCCACCGTGGTAGTGCAATTACAGCGCTCTGTGCTGAGGGTGGCATCTGGGGACAGGTGACAAGGCTGGGATGGTGGCACAGGGGCTGGGAGGGCAGCTCTGGGTGTTCAATTTTGATATGTTTATAGGAAAAATGGAAAAAAAAAAAGGCATGGTCACTGGTGGCAATGGGGCTAGGGTTAGGGTTGGGGTTAGGATTAGGGTTTTAGGGTTGCACAGCAAATGTAGGGCTACTACCCACAGCTTTTTCCCTACCCTTACCTTAACCAGAAACTGTAAGAAAATCCTTTCTCGCTGTCAGTAGGAAAACGCAGTAATTTCTACTGAGGTTGGGTTAGGTTTGGTTAGGGTTAGAGACTGTCCTCACTGCAGGGAAGGCTCTCAGGACAGGGGGTACTGCAGATACAGATTCCCTGGAAACCTGTCTGTGTGCACTCCCAGCATGAGGAATCCTCAATCCAGCCCCAGTTCCCGTGGCAGCAGAAGGCACAGTCGGCTTTGGGAGGTGACAAACCCTGTGTTGTGCATCAGAGCCAAGCCACTGACCCGGCCCTGGGGTCACCAGACCACCCCTCTGGGTACCCACAGCTCCCATCACTGGTTGCAATCTCTTTGGTATCAGCTGTGAGGGTGTTGGTGCTTGGCAGAACTGGTTCCCCCAAATGCCACCTGATGCCACCACCACCAATGAGTGTCCCCTGCTCAGATTTTTCCTCCACAGTGAGATCCCTGTGCTCGGGGTCACCGGGGGGAAGGAATGAGGGTCAGGGGGTGGAAGAGGCTGCACAGCATCGATTCACAGCATTTCCACCACCATCAAGAGGAGAAAACTGCTCCTTTCTCCAGATCTCAGGCAGAGCTTTCAGGATGAACTACAGGCGTGAGTCAAAATAAAAAGTTGTGTTAATGCTGTCTGGGTGAGAACAGGGGGAAGGACTGTAACAGAATTACGAGGCTTTGCCACCAGCTGCTGCTCAGAGGGGATGAATGGAACACCTGGAGAACGGTGGCAAGGCCGTGCCAAAGGCTCCTGAGCCCCTGGGAAGTGCATCTCAAACGTCTTGGATTGTCCTGAACGCTGCCTTCACCTCAACCGGCATCACTGAGGTTTGCTGAGGGGAGCAAAGAGCTGAATGGTGAGGTCAGGACAAGAGAATAAACAAATAAAACAAAACATCTCCGTAAAAAGTACATCTCGAGTGTAAACATAGAGGGGAGGGGTCGGCCAGGCCCGGGGTCAGCCACGTTACTGATTGACAGACGACGACAATGACATGAAAATGAACAATACAACCTCTGTCGTCAACAAATATTAACAATAATCACATCACAGCTCTTGTTCACGTGGCTGACTGAGCCCCAGTGCCTGGCTGTGCTGCAAACCCCACTGCTCTTTGGTGCTCAGGGACCCTTCACCAGCAGGGAGGGAAGGACAGGAGACAATGGGGTTTTTTTTCTTTTTTTTCTCCTTTTTTTTTGTTCAGTTCAGTCCTTCTGCACTGGCAGAGAGATGGCTCAGACGGCTCCCTGGTGTTTTAACTTCTCTGAACCATTTTGCAGAGGAAGGCTGAGCTGTTCCTCACTTTTGAATGCTTTGTGTGGGGAAGAGGTGCAATTGAGATGAATGAGAAGTGTTCTGCAAGTACCAAATATCTGATTCCACACGTCCTTGGTTTTTTTTTTTTTTCCCTATGTACAATCCACATACCTAAAACACGCGGAAGGAACCACATCAAGCGACACATTCAAGCCTCGTGGGTGTTCACCTTGAAATGTAACGCAGCTCTCGGTCCATCTTCGCTTGATGTTTGCATGCAGARGATCCTGGTTTGCTTTGGGTTTGGGAGACTTTGGTTTTACCTTTTCCCTTGGCGTCAACTTTGGTCGCTCCCGAAAAGGAGCAACGGGGCTGCTTTGGTTACAGACACGGCGCCCRGCCGAGTTCCTCCTCAGTAGGGTCTCCAGACGGACTCATCCATCCTGCCCGTGGTGCTCATGGYGGTGGGCGAGTTACTGTGGCTGCCGTCGGCGTCCACGCCGTCGCTCTGAGCGCCCAGGTTGGGGTTCATCAGGTTGTTCCCCGCCGAGGCGCTCGTGCAGGACGACAGCATGCGGGTGGGCGAGCGCTCACCTCCCGCCACCATGGAGAATTGATAGGAACCCGAGGACGTGCCGTAGTACAAATGGTAGGGAGAGGGGTTGGCCTGGAAGGGCCCGCTCTGGTTCTGCGTGGAGCCGGGGTAGGGGGGCGGCAGGTAGGTGTGGTGGAAGCGCGTGGTGGTGGGCATGCTGGTCATGCTGATGCCCCCGATGCCCGTGGCCGAGGGCGTGGCCGTGTAGGGGAAGGCGGCGGACATGGCGCCGGGGTAATGCATCCGCGGGTCGGAGAAACGCGTCTCCGTCAGCGCCGGCAGCGTCGGGAAGGAGCGCTCGAACTGCCGCGGGTCCGAGAAGGGGCTCAGGTCTGACGTGCCTGGCGGGGCAGGAGCACAGGGGTGGTTAGAGARCTGTCCTGGAGCCTCTTTGTCCCAAAGCAGCCCCGAGGAATTGGAAGGAAAAGAGRGAAGAGAGCTGGGGGACTTAAGTAAAAACCCTAAACCCGTTTGTTTAAGTTGCTCCCATTTCCTGTCCTAAAATTTGTTGTTTCCTATCCAAGAAGGGGACATGGCTAAGCTGGCTTCTCTTAGGGGTCTATTCATCTCGGGTAGATTAAAACAGCACACCCCATAAACACAGAAAAAAAGATGTTTAGCCATGACATCAGCTGTGTAGTAAATAAATGGAGGCAGGCCCCAGACGGCCGGGCCCTGGGATCATCCATCCACACACACACACACGGAGCCAGGCAGGAAAAGCTGGAGCCCAGACCAGCCTGCTAAGCCTTCTTGTGGGTGGCCTGTTCGTGCTGATACCATCAGGGGATGGAGCTGATAAACACACAGCTGAAAACTCCCAAGCCAGGAGCCACAATATCCCTCTGCTTGAGTTCTCTGTGTATTTTTCTCCTTCCAAGAGGATAAAGGGAGTGAGAAATTCAGGCTCTCTGCTGGGGGAAGGGAGGCTTGGGGCAGCGTGGTGGGGATGTTCCCCAGCTCCATCGGACAGAGGAGCCCCCCACGCCTTTTCCTGGAGAGTCTAAACYCAAATGGGGTCACAGCCAGTCTGGAACTGGAGAGGGACCTTGGCTTGCTGCCGTTGGATCCTGTCCTCCTGCAGGAAGCCCAGGTTAGAAGGTAGAAATCCACACCAGAAGCTCCTTTGAGCAGCTCGGGGCATTCCTGTGGCTCTCAGCTGTTCCAAGGTGGTGCCATTCCCCACAGAGCCCAGAAACCTCCAGCCTTGCTGCATCGAACAGAGAGAAATGAGTTTTGCTCTCCAAAGAGAGAAAATAAACCTCCATCCTTGAGACCTCCTCTATTTTTCTCATGTTAAAAACAGGTCTATTCTCCTTTGCTAGCAGGAAGCCATCCAGCCTCAAAAGTGACTTTTTTTCTGGTCACATCAGCTGGATTTTGTATCCCTCAGAGCAAGAGAATGTGAGGTGAGCATGCTAAACACGCCTGTTGCTTTTGGAGATGCATATCCATCCAAACACACATCCAGGGGATTGTGTGGCTGCTCTGCATGCACAGGGCCTCGTGTTTAAATCTGTTTATTACAATGAGGATTTTTAACTTCTCAGGGCTGGTGTTGCATGTCCTGAAGCATTCCCCCAGGAGAAAACACCTGATTTAATCCCTTCCAGCTACCCAGTGACACGGGCACGCTCTGGAGGAGCAGGTATGGAGGGGATTTGATCTGCAGCTCCTTTCTGTGATCCSGGGTGAGTCTTTCAGCCATGGAAGGAGAAGGAGAGGGGAGGTTCCTCCCTCCCTCCCTCCCCTGCAGCCCTTTTGCGGGCACACAGCAGCGCCTGCCTTCCCACGCAGGCTCCACGGAGGGGAAAGGCGGGGGAGCACCTGGTTTGTGAACGTGGCTGTGGCTTTGGGGCGAGATAAGAGAGGAGCAGCTCAAAGCTGGTCCCAACCACACTGCTCTGCCCACACCCGGCGCTGGAAAGAGCGTGTGGAAGCGGCTGCCCAGCCACAGGGCCATCTCTGATCCGTGCTGGAAAAGCACAGCGCTGGGAAAAATGTTCCCAAAATGATTTCCCAAA